GCCAGACACCTCACAGGAACCATCTGAAGAACTAGAGACTAATTAGATGTCAGGTGGAGGAAGAGGGAGAGGGAGATTCAGGCTGTCTGCTAAGTTGCCAGTTTACATGATTGAAGTGTTGTTCATACTATTTACTGCTATAGGAAACATGGTGGGAGGGAAACCGCCTTGAGAGGAGTGGAGATGAGTTCAGTTTTAAAGGCGTTGAAATTGAGACTGGCCATGGTTGTCAGGCAGCTCTGTATCACAGGCCTGGTTTGTAGACCTTCAAATATCTAAAAATCCCATTTCTGAACTGACTTGAGTGTAGTCTAGTCTTTTAAATTGCCTGAGAAAAACTGAAAGAGAGCTCTTAGGTCAAAAGTAACTTGTGATAAATAGGTAATACATATGGGTCCTACTCTTTTTAATAATCATCTACTTCTGTGAAGCAGAATTTTTAAAATAATATTTTATAAAAATAACCTGAAGCCGAGGAAGAATTAAATGGTATATCCAAAGCCATATGGATGAAAAGGAGTAGAGTTGAGCTTCCTAACTGGAATTCAGAGTTCAGTGGCTTCCCATTGTCCTATGGTCAAGACCATATATGTTAAGACTCTGAAATCTGACCTATGCCAGATTCTCACCGTGTACCAGTTTCCTTTGACTATGTCATGCTGCCTTCCACAGTAGGACCTTTGCTCTTTTTTCTGACTGGAAAGTTCTTTACAACCCTCCTCCTCCTGATTAACTTGACAATTTTCTTTAGATCTTAGCTCTCTGAGACAAGTCCCTTTGACACTGTGAAATAGGTCAAACACTCCAAAAGCAGTTCTTGGAGCAACTTGTGCTATTTCTTCCTAACACACAGTACAATTTGCAGTTATATCGTTATATATTTATATCCCTGATGAGTTAGTGTATATCCTCTTCACTCAGTCAGTTGCACCATAGAGAAAGTAGTCTCTTCTTCATCCCTTATGTAGCACAAAGAACAGGTGATCAATGTGTATTTTTTGAATGGAAGAATGACTTCATACTTCAGTTTTTCATTATTTTGTGTACGTACTTACTGCTATATGTTCCAAGAGGGTGCAAAACTGCTAGGGTCTTGTTTATTCTATTCATTGTACATCACTGAATCTAGCCCAGTGGGAAGCAGATGGTAGATATTGAGTAAATATTTGTAAACAAATGACAACAGTGAACTACAGAATTTTCTGGTTTTCCAAGCAGATAGGCATTCTTCACTGATAAGGCACAAAGCTCTCCTGCGAGCCTTTATCTAGAAAGCCTGTTTCATGGCCACTATTTGTGTCAAGGAAAACTCATCCCTGTCTTAGATACTCATTTAATTATCCTACAATACAAAACAAATCTTATTTGAAAGAGATACACATTTTTGGTTATACACGAAAGAACTATGTGTGTATAATGATGAGCAGTGTTAACAGATTACGCACAATAAAGTATCAGATAGATTATTGACACTTGACTCATAGCTCTGATATTGAAAATGGACCAAACAACCTGCAAGAAATTCAAGGATGGAGGTACCAGTGTAAGTTATCACTTTGAATAGAATTAAATATAACTGCAAAATAATTCAAGATAATGAAACAAAAGAGCATGCTAATAGGCTGTCCAGTTCATGTGTCATTTATGAGGTACTTAGAGACCCAAATTTAGCCAAGTAGAGAGACACACAATCTTAAGATTTAATCAACAGCCCCATGGTACTCTGCCAGCCTTTTGTTTTGATAGAGTTTATTCTTAGTAGGTGTTATTATTACTAGTTATACTAAGGCAATAGATAAATAAATGACTGCCATTGAAAAGACAGTTCATTGTACTCACAGATTCCAAGAGAAATATCAGTGTCACTATGCGACACAAGAGAGGATGCATGGGGTTTGGTCACAGGTAGGAGGAGAGATGGGACCTGTGAACTGGTGTTTTATTGTGGTTTCCAGGGGAAGGAATAGGTAAGGCTTTAGGACTGGCCTGTTTGAATAACTGACCCTGGGGTGGTTAGGCTGTGTGTAAGGTGGCCTGAGTGGGAGAGCCTGATAAGGGAGATCCTTGGGGGTGTGGTTTCTGAATTGATTGATTTGTCGCTGAAAAGTGGACCCCTTGGAGGAAAGCTTCGCCCAAGGACAAGGTGGGAGATGAAGGAGGAAAGAGGTCAAGGCAAGGTGATTGAAGCATATTATCAGATTCTCTGGAAGAAAGTGTGTCTGGCATCTGCTGATAGAACAAATGTGAAGCCATCAAGTTTACAGAAGCTAAAAACATGGCTACTACACTGTGGCTGATCCACATGGTAGCTTTGTTAGAAGTTTGCATTCTGTTCTTCATCTCTGAAAGAAATGAAGATAATAGTTATGGTCCTAATTCTCCTCTGAACTGTGGTTCCAGGCTTCCTAAACTTGTCTTAGGTCTTGTACAATTTAGGAATTTACTTTTGAATAAATGTATTTTAATACACAAAATAAAATTATTGGTTTACAAATGTTGAAATACATTTCTATTTCCAGGTTAAGAAGCATTGAGCCCTCATTTATCACCAAAGGATGTAGTATAGATATGTAGACTGAGCTGAGCCAGACTACTAAGGACTGCTCTCTTTTATTTATTTTATTTTATTTTTTTGTACCTGGTATCGAGCTCAGGTCCTTGTGCAGGCTGGTCCCCACGCTTTTGTGAAATAGGTTTTTTTCATTTTTAAACTTGAGAGACAGGGTCCTAGCCTGGAGTTCCAAAGCCCAGTGGCTTGGTGTTTAATCCTAGCTCTGCCACTTTCGATCTTTGAGACCCTCATCCAGTGACTAGTGTGCTTCATGACACTTCTTTTTTTCATTATTTTTTTGGGATATTTATTGCCTATGTACTCCAAGAGGCCGCAAAAAAGGGAAGGGTCTTGTTTGCTCTATTCACTGTGAATCTCTGAATCTAGCCCAGTGCAAAGCAGATAGATCGTAGGTACTAAGTGAATATTTACAAACAAATGGCAAAAGTGAACAGATTCGCTGTTTTTCCAAGCAGATAGGCATTCTTCACTGTTCAAGAGGGCACAAAGCTCTCTTTGGAATCTTTATCTAGAAAGCCTGTTTCATGGCTCTTTTGTGAAGAAAGACTCATCCCTGTCTTAGACACTCATATCAGCATTTAAAGCTAAGTCTCTGGCATAATGGTAATTGATGTTCATTAAAATGCTAGAAATTCTTTAAAAATAGGGTTATGTTGAATTGTACTATATTGTCCTTAAGAAGGTAGATGTAAGGCATATTTCAGAAAGATTTCCATCAAAATAGGAAAGACCTTGAGAATTTAGGAGTTATCCTGGGGGTTTTAGAAAAGCTTACCATGAAGACTCATTCTCAACATGTTTTAGATAGTTTTTTTAAAAAATTATTCAGTTGTGAAAAATTTAAACATATACCAAAGTAGAAAGCAGAATATAGTTCATCTTTACCTATCCATTACCCAGTGTCAACAATTATCAATATACCCTCCTCCTCACTTCACTTAATCCTAATACATCGTGATTATTTATTGCACCATATCTCAGGCATTGTTGTATTTTATTTATAACTACTTCAGAGTGTATCTCTAGTTAAGGAGCCTTCAAGAAATAAGCCTAAAAATAAACTTAATCCATTTTTGCATTTAGAATAACAACTCTCATTTCTTAATGTTTTGAGACATCCAGTCATTGTTAAAGTTTTCCCACTTGTCACATAAATGCCTCTTTGCAATTGATTTGCTTGAATCAGGATTCAAACCATGTCAATGTATACTGGCAGATCTCTTAAATCTTTTTCCTTCTTTCATTTGCCAATTTTCTGTAAACTGAAGAAACCAGATAATTTGTCTTGTAAAATAATTTCATGTTCTTGATTTTACTAATTGCATTCCCTGTATTTCCCATAAACTGATAGAGCTGGAGGCTTAATAAAGTTCTGGTTAGATTTTCTGGTAAAAATACTTCATAGGTATTACATCATGCTGTGAGACACACTGAGTCTGTTTATGAAGTTAGAGAGAGCAGTGGAGTTTGGTATCATCAGCCGGAATTCTCCATCAGCCTTTTCACCTGATGTAGGGGTTCTCAGTTCTGCCTGCACATTGGAACAGCTCTGGAGCTGTTACACATTTCTGATGGTGAGGCCTCACTCCAAGAATTGGTCCATGGTGGGCCTCGGCTCAGTAAGTTTTTGAATCTTAGGTGATTCCAATGTACAGACTGTATTGAGGATCTATTACTTGAAAAATTTGGTGGTGATTGGAACTTTTCCTGTAGATCGTTCTTTCAGAAGAGCTTGTTAAATGGTGTGGCAGTGTAACTTCTGCACATATCAGCAAAAAACATCTACTAAAACTTTCACTTGGTCTTTGGTTTTCCCGTTAGTACAGGAAAAATAGGATAAATATAAATAGGGATTCTTACCAATTGTCTGAATATTGAATTGAGTATGAGCATCCTAGAAAGGTGACCAGTGAGCTTTAAGAATTTTGAGCTTACTGATTTTAGAACATTTGATGTTTCAAACCATTGCATATATTATTATTTTAATGTTGACAATGTTTAAATTTTAGCCAACAGAAGGCCTTTTAAGTCAGCTCCTGATATCTTTTGACAATATTTAATTTCCCAGTAGTAGTATTTCATCACTTCCTTGCTTTTAAGTATGATAGTGTGCTTTAGGCTCAGCTTACACATTTGATAATTTAGTTGTTTTGTAGTTTTCTTCATCTTAGGTGATTTCCGTCCTGAATCCAAAATAGTCATTTAATAGTTTACTTTTCTGTATCCTATTTGGTGACACTCTATTTAGTGATTATAGAATGATTACTAAATGGATTGAAGTATATTGTATAGTTATAAATTGCAGTAGTAATTAGGAAAAAATACTAAAATAATGTAGCAAAATTCTTATTTTTAAAAACTATGAATCCTACAGTGAGTGTTACATAAATCCTTGGTAAGCTATTTCTGTGTGTGTTTTTTTCCACAGTTAATGTCCATCAGTGTGTTGGCAGTCTCTGCTTGGATGAGGGATTACCTGAATAATGTTCTGACTCTAACTGCTGAAACAAGGTAAACTCTGTAATTGCTGATAGAATACTTGGTTTCCTCAGACCTGGTTTTAATTTTTTAATTTTTTTTTTAAATTTAATTTTATTGGTACATTTTAGGTATACAATATAAAGACATTCATCATTGGAAACTTGTACCTTTGCATAATCTCTCTTGGTTCTTATTTTTCCCCCTTCCCCTGCCCTCCCTTCAACCCCTCCATCCCTGCCTATTTACAAAGACTTTGTTTCCATTTTT